TACTTACAATTAATCAGTGTCTACTTAAAGGCAACTTATTAGGTTGGCAAGGGCCAGGCATTTGCTGAATATATTAAAGAATCAATGGTCTCTGCCTTAGATGAGATCACATATAATGTATACCTGAATTTTAAATAACCTGGGATTTGAAATAACCAATGATCTAATACATGTTGTGCTGGAACTTTGTACAACTGAGGGATTTATTAATTCTGTAGTATAGAACAACCTCTTTAGAGTAGACAAGTTGGGACAGGAGCTCAAAATGTCAACACCTTCTCATTCCTCTCAGTGGTGAACTCTGCACACCTTGATATGACCAACTACATCCTTCAAGTACTTCTGTCTCTAGCTGCTTCTGCTAAAAAAGAATTTTATTCCCAGACAATTTGTTAATGAGTGTCACAGAGTTAGGTTATACTGGAAGTCAGACATGAAACTTTTAAGATTTTGTTAAGTTGAGCTCCTACCTTGGCTGACCAGAAAAATCAACAGCGGCAAACTCGTTAAGTCACATTCGTCAAATGCTGGCTTAAATTTTAGAACTGGGATTCAACGTGAAGCTCTGAACGGCCACGCTAAGGCCTAATGAGGTCCTTGCCATCTTTCTCTAGGTTACATCACTCCAGGAGATGTGTTGGGTGAACTCCCTGTTTAGATGGTTGCTTGAGTCACCCACAAGACCTAGCATCGATTCTTGCACATAGTTGGTGCTCCATAAATGTTTCTAGAATTAATACTAATTGCCTAGTGAGTGGATGCCAGAAAATCTTCAGGCAATGGCTATTTTATCAAGCCATATACCGACATTTCCTGCAATGGGGAACCAATGACTAGACTCAGAAGTCATGCTTATCACAGACACTGGCCATGGCCCCAGAGAGAGATCAGCCATGCCAGTGATCTCCTTACTCCTGCAAATATAGCAAGTGGAAATACTATTCCTGGATTTAGAGTTACACAGTTTTTACATACGATTATAACAGCACAAATCTTTTTAGAAATCTATTTTAAATAAAAGCAAAACCATTTAAATTCAGTAAAATAAGGCACTTGTTTTAGGACATACCACTTAAAAGATCACTCATAAAATGTAGTTGGCACTTCAAAAACCTTGCCAATCACATTTAACCATCTAGTCAAGTGGTTTGTGCTTTTATACAAAATCAACTAGGCCGCCTTACTCTTTAGAAGCAATGAAGGATTCATTCCTTCTTGTGTTTGTTAAGCTCTAAACGAGTAGTTCTTAACCTTCCTAATGCTACAGCCCTTTAATACAGTTCTTCATGCTGTGGTGACCCCCAACCATAACATTATTTTCATTGATACTTCATAACTGTAATTTGCTACTGTTACGAATCATAGTATAAATATCTAATATGCAGAAAAGGTATTTTCATTGTTACAAATTGAACATAATTAAAGCATAGTGATTGATCACAAAACATATGCAATTATATTCTATGAAATATTTATTTCTAATGACAAATAAATGAACATTTGTCTTGAAAAATGGTGTAGTATGGGTAACAGTCTTCATGCCGCATACTTGTCTGTCGGCCTAGCTGCATGTGGGCGGACCCAACTGGAGACAGATAGAAGAGAGGTTTCTCGGTTCCTAAGACCATTGGAAATATGTGTTTTCCGATGGTCTTAGGCTACCCCTGTGAAAGGGTTGTTCGACCCCCAAAGGGGTCATGACCCACAGGTTGAGAAGCGCTGCTCTAAACATAGAAGATTTAATTTGGTTGGTAATTTTATTTTTTCTATTCCAATATTCTCATGGCTCTAATTCTCTTCATAGTTTTTAATGAACTTTTCGATTGCTCCACATGCATGCAAGGACTGGGAAACAAAAAGGAGGACAGAAGGATTGATGCACTCACACCATCACGTTGGCAACGACCACTGACTACATGGTGGGTTGTCAAAGAATGAACAGACCAGTCTGACAAAGAAAAACAAACAAGCCACCACCACCACCACCAACCAGAATGCTCCTTAGAGAGCGAGGGTGGCAAGAGTTCAATTCACTTACTTTGGAGAGACCAACTGCTAGAAAAGGACATCATCCTTGTTAAAAGAAGGTTAGTAAAAATGAGGCCAATCCCCAATGAGAAGGAGTGACACAATAGCCCAACAAAGGACTCAACCATCCAATGATCATGAAGGGGGCTCCGGACCAAACATAAGTTTGCTGGGTGTATGTAAGGTCTCCATGAGTCACAGCTGACTCAACAACATCTAACAATGGCAAACAACTCATTTTCCTTCAAATTTAGTGCCTTGGTTTGCTTCCTATATTTTTCTAAAGTGCAGTCCTTTTAGGTTCATTTTCAAAGGCACAGGACCACGATACCTTGCCAGTAGGACATGCAATTTCCCTTAGTTCCACTTTGGGCAGTGCTGAAGAGAAAATGGTTTCTAAAATGTAATTCATAAATCTGACCTACAAGGCTGTCCTGCGATCTCAGTTTCTACAGCTTCCTCAGCAGCTAAGGGGCTTAGCAGACTTCCGGAGATGTGGGAAGGAAGCACAGTGGTGACGTCATGGTTCCATGGGATCGGAGGTTGCTATCTTCTGACCTCAATAGGCCTTCTTACTACAAGACTGGTTTTTGTTTGTTACTTTCACCATTGGTGCTATGGCCCATGAGCTCCTGCCTCTTCGGTTGGGTCTGTTTTCCTTCAAGCATATTAAAATTGGAAGATGAGAAAATATTAACAGTGCTCATTTCTCTCCATGGATCTGCTTTAAAAGATGACGTCTGCACACTTGCTCCTGTCACACTAATAGTCGAAAATTGAATTGAGTGCATCTCCAGCCATTATTAGAACAGCTGTGCGGCTGGAAAACTCTAATTCAATCATATCCTGAGGCCCTCGGTCTTCCTAGCACATAGATTAGGAGCCCTACTGCTCTCCCCACCAATAGCAGTTTCCTCTCTAATAGAGGCATTATTATATAGCTGGAGGTTTGTATGAGAAACATATTGGTCCAGTGCATAAAAACCAATCAACATATTGCACATATTGTAAATTCCCAGTCAAATAAGTGTTAGGTAATTCTCTCGCCAGTATTGTGGAAAAGATTCCCTGTGTATAATGAGAAAAACAGTGAGCTCATAGAAAAAGTAAAAGGTTGGAGAAGACAAGAAATCTTGTTTCTAGTTCCAATGGTCAGATTTGGGGATGATCACTTATACCTTTACTAATTCTCAATTTCCACACCTGTAAAGTCGGATGAAGGAGTTCTAGTGGCACAATGGTTGAGAGCTTGCCTGCTAATTAAAAGGTCAATGGTTCAAACCTACCCAGTGGCTCCAGGGAGAAAGATCTAGTGTTCTGCTTCTGGAAAGCGAACCACCTAGGAGACCCTATGGGACAGTTCTTCCTACTAACATTAAAAACAAACAGAAACTTTGAAAAGCACTTCAAATGCTTTGGGGCGCTGTCTTGAAGAGACAGCAGATTCTACGCAGTGGAGTGGGCACAGGGAAGCAATGGAAGGGTTCTCTCCTAAGACAGTCACCACTAACCTCCTTGGATACCCTTCTCCTTGGGGTCCATTCATGGTTTCATTGCTCATCCATTTTTTCCTTCAGCAGCATTTCCGGAGCATGTCCTGTGTTCTGGGAACTCAGCCTAGGATCAGTGGTTTCACTGGACTTCTTCTGTCGGACCCTTACACTGCAGGCACCCTCTCTTGTGCTCCACGATTTAACCAGTAAGATCTGTATCTGTGCACAGTCTCTTACTACTTCTAGTATCGATCTGCTTAGTCTCTTTGTTTGCTTCTCCAATTCTATTCTTTTCTGATTACCTTGATGAGCGAAGCAGAGAATTCCTGATAACCCCTCAGGAAAACACAGGAGGTGGAAAATCAAAAAGAACTTGACAGTTTTTCCTTTTCCTAAGCACATTTTTACCTACCATGCTCTGTAAACTTTTAGGAATGATCTCTATTCTCAAATTTTTGTTTTGAGTGATAAACAGATAACTAAACTTGGCAGTAATCGGCTATACTAAAACATGTATTGCTCTGCAACTTGGAATTTTTTACATAGGTTATTTTGTGTGTGTGTGTGTGTGTGTGTGTGTGTTTTTGAGAAAGTGGGTTTTAAATGTTTACCAATATGCTTTTAGAAGTTTTGTTGTTTCTTTGGAGGTAAATGTTTGCAAAGGTTAATAAATATTACAATGTTTTATTTCTTTACAACCTAAGCATGACAGGTTTTCCTCTGCCTACAACTTAGATATGAACAAATCTTTCTGGCAGGAAGTATAGTCAGAATGCTCCTTACACGTGAGTACTGATAAAATTTCACTTACTTCAGACATGTCATCCAGAAGGTCAACTACCTGAGGGAAGGACCTCATCACTGAAAAAGGGAAAGCCTCTCACCGACATGTTTGATGCAGGGCCTCCAGCAATGAGGTCAAATGTGGCAGTGACTGTGGGGATGGTACCGACGGGGCAGCATTTTTGCAGCTATCCCTAAGGTTGCCAGGAGCAACCTAAGATGCTCTTATTGAATATTATTTTCTTCTATCCTATAACTTACTCACAACTCCCTGCCACCAAGTGCTTTCTGACATTTACCGACCCTATCTAGCATTCCAGAAGCCATCAATCTTCATGCAGAGAGCCACATCTTTTTCCCTCAGAGCCATCTGAGGGAACCATCAGGACTCTGTCCTATACTTCTCGGAATATGGATCTTACAAAAATTATCAGCTGGTCCCAAGGGTTCAAGTAGAAAGAAAATGCTTTGGAAATGGTGATGGCAACATATGCACAAATGTGACTGATACTATTGGTGTATGAATTGTGATAAGAGCTGCAAGAGGCTCCACTAAAATGATTGAAAGAAAAATAGAAATTATCAGCTGGTGTGTTCTGATATTCGTGAAAATTTTAGGAAAAAATTGTCTTTCGTTTTTCGTCTTGCTGGTTAGAAATAAACCCTTTCTTGATGAGATTTCTAGGATCAACTCACCTGTCAAACAGTTCTCCTCCTGTGACGAGCTCGAGAACCAGACTGATTTCAGTAGGGGTTTCAAATATCTCTTTAAGTTTTATCTGAGAAAAAATATATAAAACAAAGAATATCACAAATTTCTTATTTTCACTTTTCTTGGAAATAGCTAAAGTTACGAAGGAAAAAAATCACCTTCTCTATACTAGAATGATGTGGTAGCATTGTTTATAAAGCTTCTTTAGTTTTGTGTCAGACAGGCACTTGTCTTTCACCTTATGAATTATTGTCATTATTAACCTAATTTCTTCAAAGTTCTGTTGAATTCTGATGATTTTCCTTTAATCAGTTGAAAGATACTTGCCTTATACACACTTTGTAAAATTTTTCTTAAAACATTTCAACTCCTGTGTTGCTCCAAAATTAAAAACAAGCAAATAGACAGTACAATTGCCCAAACCATTTGAAAGCGCCATAGTTGCTAGCAATATAAATGCATCTTTTTCTAGAGAAGGAACTTGGAATTAAAAGTCTGTAGCCAGACCAGACCACCTGATAGGGTTTGTCTATACAGAAAGAATGTCCCTTAATAATTCTAAAATTGTTCACGGATAAAAGAGTTCTCATAAAAGTAGGGATGGTAGTTATTTGATGGACTGTAATAGGGGTTTTAACATGCTCCAAGAATCCAACCAAATGTAAGTATTTTCTCCAGTGTTCAGGAGGTCTTAGAGACCAGGGTTAAACTACATGTAAGGCAAAGCCCAAATTGGCTTCTCTTTGGAATAAAAAAGAGAGGTGGTGTAAAAGCAATAGTTAAATGTAGCAAGACTTGTTAACTGCTTGTCCCTTTTCCCTTGACTTGACTGAAAAGAACTCCGGGTTTTGTATAGAGAATTGAGGTACCTACCCCTAAATTACAGAGCATGGTTAGTCTAAGCCACTTACGACAACCATGCTCCCGAATGTCTCAGCCTCCCTGCAGATATGGGTGATTATAGGACCAGCTTTGACTAATAAAATCTGAGTGAAATTTTACTGTAGAATATATATATATATATGTATATATATATATATATATATATATATGTATTTGTCATGAAACTCTGGTCCTTTTTCCTGTCTTGGATATAGACCCAACAGCAAGTGAAGAATGTGAAAGACCCATTTGGGGACTTTGAAGAGACCGCATGAGCGTGGAAGCCAGCTCTGAGGAGAGTGGGACAAAGGACAGCTAGTGTTTGGTCCCAAATGGTGGTGCTCAGCTTTGGAGCAGCTGAAGTGATATGAACAACTGCATGCATGCCGATTTCTTGTAATAGGAGGAAAAAGTTGGTTAGACTGCCAATATTAATGTTTTCTGTATTTATAGCTAGATATGTCTCTAAGTCATGTATTATATTTTAAACACATTGCCTTGAGCAAACACTTTCTCAAAGCAATGGGTAAAATATGTACTTTGGATAGATGGTTCAATTTATAAAGCCAAGTCATGGCCTAAAAGATGATTTTTCTTTTTCATTTCATTTCATTGGCTCCAAGAATGCTTTTTGTCTGTTTTTCCATCAGTGGCTTCATCCAGGGGTAGCTTAAAGCAGGACTATTGAGAAGATCTTGTTTTCTCTCTTCAAATACAGCATTTTTGGGCATCCGCATATTACTCCGGAAACAGATACTCTCTCAAAGGAGACTGAAATGACTTTGGAAAAACAATGCATTTTCTTCACAGGCTTTTCCAGCAATGGCATATTAATAAGGTAGGTACACAAAAGAAAGGGGGGAGGGGAGAAGCCAGTACTTTATTACAGAGAAACAACACTCTCCAATTGTTTTGCTCTTCTTTTATGCATGAAAATAAAGATGACATGCATATTGCTGATCTGTTCATTTTCAGAACTCTTTCAAGGGATATTATTTTAAAGATTTATTCACTCAAAGAATTGAAAATGTGATTAGCTGAGGACGAGAGCCAGGTCACGGTAGCTGCTCAGGGAGAAAAGGTCCCCTATTAACTATTAAGCATGGACACTCAAGAACCAAGATCCCATTCTTGAGCTTTGGAAAGGATTTGAAATAGGTTAAAATCCACTTACAATGTTTGGATGTGAAAGGCGAAGAAGAACTCCTATCTCAGTCCTGACGATTTTTTTGTCCACCTAAAAGGTAAAATAAAAGAGATACATAAAAACTGCCACCTTGAAAACATCCAGAAGATCGGAGACAACAATGACCTGGGAAAATCAGGGAATTGGTAGGAGCAAATTTGTCAGCCCCCCCTCCCCCCCCCCATCTATCTTCCCTCTGCTTCAGGTGCCATGTCTTCCTTCTTGGCTTCAAGTGTAAAGTCAAGACAGATTCCAATTCAGATCATGCCTTGGCAGACCCCTGGCACGATTTTTTGAGAAGTCACCTCTCAACTTGAAGCGCAAGTCCCTCAAAAGGTATTCCTTCTCCTCCTCCGTTTCTTATGGAAGACTGTGCCTTGAACCCCCAAATGCTATCTGTCTGCCTACTTCAAGTAGAGGTGGGAACCTAGTCCACCATGACCAACCAGAGGCCATCGTGATAGGGTCAAAGACATGCATCAAACAAGTCAGCCAATCAGAGCTCTCCCTAGAAATGTTGCTCAAGCAATCAAGAAAGAGATATTCTCCTTTTCTCTTAAATGATGAGAGAGAGCGAGAATAGAAGCTCGCAGCTCACATTGACTATATGAGGGGGTTTCACAACTTCAAAAATGAAAGGATAATGGAGAGAAATCTAATTCGAAGATCCTGGATAGAGTTGGAGAAAACTATCATGTGGGAAGCTAACACTGAGGAAAATATGATGAGGACTATATTCCTTCACTTATAGCAGAGGGAACCTGGAAAGCTGGTATTCCACGGAAGGAAAGCTCCCGCTTTGGTAAGTTAGAGATAAAGTCCAAGTACATTATTCTGCTTTAAATATCGTTCCCACACATTCTCCCCTTAACAGCTATGCTGCCTTATAGTGAGCACATGGTTAATTATATCTCCCTGTAGAAGCCGACATTATCCTTTTGCTCGCTCCCCCACTCCCCACTCCCGTGTTGCCCAACCCCCATCACACCTTCGCCCAATGCAGGTATTAGGTTTCCTCATCTGTGAGCTCAGGGACCTTGATGTAGCTGCCACCCACCTTATGACACATGTAACTACTAAATATGCATGCCTTAAGGCTACTTATAAATGCCCCAAGATAGTAAAGTTTTCTCTAACTCCTCCCCGTTCCATGTGGTCCATCAAGAGGAGCTGCGAGCATGCTTCCATAAAATGTGTCTGACTCCTTTAATTTGCTCTCTCTCCAATCATCCTTATCCTCTATTACTTTACCAGAATCTCTACATATTATCGACGTACGTTTGCACCTTCTGGTCTTTCAGGTGTGGAGGCTGGTTTCCTCTGACAACACCAAGTAGAACTCAAAATCATAAGAAAGACCAGGCTTACTGGTCAGGTAGAGAATGGTGAGGCTCCTGAGACAATGGTCCTTAGGCATGCTTCACGACTAGGGATGAACTCACCCTCATTTATCATTTTCCTTCAAACAATAGACAGTTCTATTGGGGAACAATGGGGATCCCTGGCCGCCCAGTGATCGACACCTGGGGCTGCTAACCAGGAGGCCAGGTGTCCACCAGCCACTCCTTGGGGACGGTGAGGCGTTCGGTGCCTGTAAAGCTACAGGCTTGGGGACTCAGAGGAGCAGGTCTATTCGGTCCTGCAGGGCTGCTATCAGTTGGTATCTACTCAACGGCAGTGAGGGAGATAAGAGGCAAAATAAAAGCATGGCGGTAAGAACAATTGAGCAATAAACTATTTGAGATCAAGAGGAAGTTCAGAAGGGTTAGGAAATTCGGAGGAAAGGGAAAAGGACACATAAGGCCTAAGTAGCCTAAGGGACTTCACATGGTGGAGATGGCAATCAATGTCATAAAACAAACGATGTATGAATTGTTGAATAAGAAATTGAGCTGTTCTGTAAAACCTCACCCAATTCACAATAAAACATTAGAAAAGAAAAGAAAAAAGGTAGTGGATATTTTTCCATGAACTTTTTGAAAACCCTTGAATTTGACAAAATATAGAGAGTGTTTTATTAAAAACAAAGCATCTAAGGCATATACACCGGGAAGAGATGAGGAAACAGTGCTGCCGACATAATTTAAACCCCTGGATTCAGTCTTGAATAAACTAATTTGATCTTTGAACTTTATACTTTTAGAACCTATTACATTTCCTTTTCTGCCTGTAATCTAGAGTTAGTTTCTGTTTCTATATATTAAATAATCCTGGACAGTTTACCACTTGGCTGATGCTCAGAAACACGATCAATTACCTTAGAATATTCCAACATAAGCATTTCTTTTGGTCAATGGAGAACTGTTTTAAATCATGTTTTAGACGATTCCCAACCAAACCAACCTCACGGTTACTGAGCCTATTTCAATTCATGGTGAACTGCAGGCCAGGCTGGAACTGCGCCTATGAGTTCGTGAGACTGCAACTGTTTACAGGCGCCAAAAGGCCCGTCTTTCTCCCACAGAGCAGCTGGTGTTTGAAACCGCTGCCTTGTGGTTAGCAGCCCACTTCTAACAATTCCAGTGCTAAGCAATATGTAATTAACACCTGCATCCTTTCTGTAGTCGCTGCCATCTGAGGGGTCCAGAATGTTGGACTGGCAGAGCTCACCTGGTTTTGGATATGGTGTGAAGATATTTATGGACAATTCACAGTAATCATTGGGAGTATACAATCAAAAGACTACTCGAAATGGGGAATAGAGTCCACCATACAGTCCATTCTTCTGAGGAAGTAATGGTGAACTTGAGTAGAAATTTAAATGCAATGCGAGGGAGGCAACCAACCACAACTTTCAACCTAATGAGGAACAACATTCATTCATTTAGGCTTATCCTTTGATGAAAACATTAACCAAGAAGGACATGTTCTTAGAAAATAAAGAAGGGACATTTGAGGGCCTTTATATATTTTTTCTCTGGCAAATATATTTTACCAGATTCATGAGTACCTTCCTTATAAGATGGAAGTTACCATTTATAGATGTGCTATTCATTTCTTCTTTTTAAAAAAAAATCAGTTTGGGAGGACTCATACAGCCCTTATTACAATCCATACATACATCCATTGTGTCAAGCACATTTGCACATTTGTTGCCACCATCATTTTCAAAACATTTTTCTTTCTACTTGAACCCTTGGTATCAGCTCCTCATTCCCCCCACCCTGAACCCTTGATAATTTATAAATTATTATTATTTTTTCTTGTATTACAATGGCCAATGTCTCCATCACCCACTTTTCTGTTGTTGGTACCCCTGGGAGGGGGTTATATATAGATCATTGTGATTGGTTCCTGTGTTAGACAGGGTTCTCTAGAGAGATAAAACCAAATTGCTGATAATTTAATATATTTATTTATAAAGATAATTAGATATATAACAAGGAATGAACT